TCCTGCGCCTCTCGCTACTAACCCTGCGCACCCTGCTCTCGGCTGTTCACCTTCCGGTTGATGCGGGCGTCGTCTCCTGCGTTTGGACCTTTCTCTTTGGTTCAGTCCAGGCGAGCGGCGCCGTTGCCGCCGCCACCGGCTACCTCGAGTTCGGCGGCATCCTGGGCGCCATCGTCTGTTGTTTCTTCGGCGCCCCGGCTGACGCCTCTTTCGTCAAGCTCTACGGCGCATATGCCATCGTCGTCGGCCTGCTCCTCGCCTTGTTGGAGGCTGCTGACATCACATTGGAGGTCATGCGTCTCAGCCGCGCTGCCACCGATCGCATGTTTGTCGCCGAGGCGAAAGGCGAGGGAACTCTCATTCGCAAGTCTGTCTTTGCTGTCGTCGCTTTGTGTGCCCTTATGTCTTTGGGAATTGTATACATTTCAAGCACCATGTACTCGCACAATGCCCCACTAGTCATGGGCGCCGTACTATTAGCCACGTACCTCGTCTGTCTAGTCACGGAGAACGGCCATATTCTAGAAACCGCCGTGCTAGCCTTAGTCGCTCAGCTCACGCTTGCTATTAGTTTAGTCGAGGAGTTTGATGCTCCGACCGAATTCATGGACCCGCTGCTTGCGAGGAAAGACAGCAACTCCCCGAGCGAAACGATTTACGTGTTTGGTGAGACCATCTCTGTGAGATATCCAGAGATGCGTACAATTGTCCTCATGTACACCTCCGCTATGCTACAGTACTTGTAACTTTGGCCTATGCTCCTAGTTTTTTCCGCCTGCTCCAAATTTGGGCCGACAGGCTGGCGAGTGAGGAAAACGCTTGCGCACAGGGGGAGGGAGTTCAGCGTTGCAGGGGGAGGAAAAAAACTGTCGAAATGGCCAGGCGTGCGACAGAAATGCATTAGGTTTCCAACGCAAATGAAGGCGGTTCGCGCAGAACAGTGACAATTGCAGGACGACTCGGTAGTTTTGAAGGTGAGCTAAAATATGCTGTAATGTAACATATTTTTGGTGCAATTGTTTTGGGTGTAATTAATATTTTTATATATGACAACAGTAACACGTGTACACAACAGTAACACGTGTACACAACAGTAACACGTGCACAGTAGTGCATTCGTCATCGCCGCGATTTGTGACGCCATTGAGAATTGGTTTATCTCGAGACATTGTTTCGCTGTCGCTCCCCTCTTCCTTCGTGCCCCTCCTTCGTGCCAAGTAGCGGCCTGCCAAGTCTCTGTCATCCGACAACGTCCTTCCCTCTCCCTTTACGGAACGTCGGCGTCGTCACTCGATCCAATGAAGAACACCGTCTCTGCAAGGGGCATCGGTTACCATGTGAGAGATAAGCACTATGTAAAAGGGAAAGTGTCCTGGCCGGCACAGGTGGAACAAGCCGCCTCCAGTGACAAACCGAACACGATAGGCTGTCCGATCACCGTCAGCAGCGAGACGGATAAGTAGAAGTGAGAGTAGAGACGACGAAAAAAAGAGATTCTGTGAGTTTCTTGTTTCAACAGTGGTGCTGTGCCACTGTGCCAGCAGCTGCAACTCTGCTGGAACACGTGTTACACGTTTCCGCAGGAATCTATCCTCGCTGTACCCTCACTGCATCCTCGCTGTTACTGTAATGCATAAGGGGTGCAAGTAACATTCCGTCCATTCTCTTGTTCCGGCTACGTAAACTTTACTCTCTCTCCCACATCTCCGCCCCCCCGCACCCCACGCCGCCTCGCCATCCCCACCAGCACCTGCACCTGCACCTGCACCCTCTCCGCGAGCGCCCTCGTCCGCCGCACCAGCCGCTCGTTCTCGCTCTCCACCCCTCGCATCCACGTTGTCTTCCGCGCCTCCCGCAACTTTCTCCTCTCGCGGCTCCGCCTCGCGCTCGCCCGGTTCTGCGCCGCGCTCGCCCTCCGCACTGCCACGCGCGCCGCTTTCCCCGCCGTCGCCGCCTTATTCACCCACGCCACTGCCCCTTCGCCTTTGCCAGCCTGACCCGCCGCCGCCGGCCCAGCCCGTGCCCCACTATCAGAGCCCTCCCCGCCGCCCTCGCCCACCGCTGCCTCGCACCCGACAATTGAAAGGACATCGCCGTCTCTCAGCAGTCAGGTGCGCTTTTGCCTTTTTGCTCACGACCTGCTCCACTACGGTATGACCGCTCACGGATGCCACAGACATCGTCGCGCCGAGCACGGATGGGCCTTCGGGCACGTTTGTTGGCCGTCGTCGAGCTCGACTTCAACAACGACTGGCTGATGGACCTGTGCCCGGTGTGCCCCAACTCGTACCTAGTGACGCCACGCGGCCCGCTTGACGTGCCCGGCACAGAAGATGTGCTGCTCATGAATAAGGGGAGGCCGGACGTGTCAGAACAGTATGGGTTGCCACGTGACACGGACAGCACGGGCGTGCGTGCGAAAGATGTGAACACCGAGACGTCAATGCAGGCGTGGTGGCGACGACGTTTAATTCGCTGGATTTTGGCCTCATCAATGTCGCGGGCGGGAAGTTTCGCAAGGTTGAGAGCTGGCGGAGGTGCCCCCAAGGTGGAGGCCACGCGAAGGGACAACGTGCGCACGGCGGGCCATGCGTCGACGGGCAGGTGGAGATGATGTTGAGCCAAGGTTGTCGCAAGGGGGTTTCGGGGGACCTCTGGCTGATGAGGAACGAGATAGAGTTGGGCGATAAGTCGCATTACCTGTTCGTAAAAGGGGGCAAAGAGCCGAGGGGATTGTGCACGTCGATCAACGCGCTAGTATCGGTGGGTGTAGGCCAGAACGAATGATGAGACAGGTGGGAGGAGTGGGGGGATTAGTGCTTCCAGACTGCGCGCGAGAGGTGCCGTTTTTCACGGTTTTGTACATTTACGGTATGTGCACCAATGCATGAAGGAAGCACAGGCAGGGAGCTACGAGCAGAACGATACAGTAAAGTTTACGTGGGCAAGTCGAGGATTGGCTGTCGAGGGGTGGCTATCGTCCGCTTCTCACTCGCCCTTGTCATAAAGTCCTGCACACATTTCATCAAGTTGCGTCGCGGGGGCAACCCCCCGAGATTGTCATTGGACAGGAGGCTTCCTGAAACTCTTTTGCGCAGAACACATTTTTATGACACATTTCTCAAAATCTAGAAATGTGCCACCGTCTCGCTCCTGAAACGTGTGTCCACAAATTTGCTCCCCTGACTGACGAGCAGGAGTTGCGCTCCTACTCAATGAGGACGAAGGGCTCTCCGGACGAAACGCAAAGCCGGCCGGGACATGCGTGAGCAGGCATGCCTCCCTCTCACGGTCTGAGTTTACGCCTGATTTACCGAGTGCATACAAAGATATGTGCCGACGTCACTTGGCACTGCCGACCAAATAGTGCCATTTTTGGGGCCTCGCACGGGGCGGCATTAGGTAGGGTCGACTCCGCGATTTCGGGTTGTTTTTTCATTTTTGCTTTTTGCTTGTTTATTCATGCAGAAACTGAGAAACTTCATGATTCTTCATGAAGAAACGACTTCAGACAATGGTAGCCACGACTTACACGTTACATCGCCATGATGGAGATGGGCTACAGGGACCCTAGGAAGGCATGGGGGATCTCGATTTCGATGGTTGATCGCGATTATCGGTGGGTCGCCTGAAGAAGGCCGAAGTGGTGATTTTTTCATTTTGCAGCATTATCTGGCAGTTTTTGCGCGCAATTGCGCGCAAAAACATGATTTAATGAAATCGCGGGCGGGGTCGACTGTACTAGCAATCTTCCAAAAGCTGCTCACGCCCCCCCCCAGCATGTCACACCCTGTAGGCCTGCTCCAGAGTCCACGATGGCTCCACGAGGCTTGTCGCCTCCACTGCCCCTGCAGCCGTGCCATACCCCCCGCCTCCGAATGTTCCTGCCCGCGCGTCTCTTCCCTCACTCATCGCCTCTTCCGATTGTCCTTCCGTTCCCCCCTCCTCTGCAAAACTTCGCTCCTGTTCCTTTGGTCCTGCCTTCCCTGACCGCTGCTCTCTCCCCCGCCGACTGCCCGCGCTGCCCACCGTCGTCCCCCCACTCTGTTAGACAGAGACTCTTCTGCGTCTCTGTCGCCCCGTACATCCTCCGCAAACGCCCATACTCCTTCTCCGCCATGCTTCCCCCAACTTCACCCGCCTCGTGGCAGCCCTGACTCACCACAAACGAGCCCTACTGCGACATACTACCCATGACAGTGAGTCGACCAATGTAGTCCTCGGTCGCGAGTCCCACGTGCTCGGCGCGCCTTCAGGCCTTTATTCGTCTCTCCCATCTGCCTCTGCCCATTCCGTTCCATCCAGCCCTTCCTCGCCTCCTCTAACGCTTGCTGTACAGCCTGCTCTAACACTGCATCCACCAGCAAGATCTTCGGCTCCCACACTAAACTATGAGCAATCGCCACACGGTGTCGCACCCGACCGGACAGCTTCGTCCCGGGTTTTCGCTCGCTACTCAATTGTGGGGGTATGCTAGGGCAACAAGAGGAATGAAAATGTCCACTTTTATAGAGTCCCGCTTGGCCTGTCCGACCACACTGCTCGTGTGTGGATTTCATTCGCAAATTGTTGTTTTCCAGTGGTGCTACAGACCTCAACATTAACGCCCTCCCCGTAAGGTCTCTCTGCCCGGAAGACTCCATCTACAAACTCGCACAAACTCGCACAAACTCGCTTTTAGACGGGATAAATATGCTATTTGCTTGGATGGGTATGAGACCGATAATAGGGTCCGCGTCCTCGGCTGCGCACATGTTTTGCACACAGGATGCATCAACCCTTGGCTGAGATGAAGGCTCACGTGCGTGCCGCTTCAGACCACATGCTGTTGATGTGGGCCATTTTTTAGCCGAGTCTTTGCCTTGCCTGTTTTACCTTTTGGTCAGTGCGCGGCGCCTGTGGAGAAACCTGGTCTCACGCCGATGTAATGCGTCGCTTCACTCACTTCGCTGCCACACTCGCGGTCCATGCCGGACATTTTCCTGCAACTGCACAGATCCTAAGGAAAGACACCAGATATTTACTGTAAATGCGCAACGACCTTCCGGGAGTACTGCACTTTTAGTGCATGCAACACGGGTGTGTACGTACTACTCACTGTAACGGGAACGTCCCAAGACACTTCCAACTTCGTCACTTACGACGCAGCCATTTCAATGGTGTGATAAGCAAAAGTGCGGCGACGAGCCTGTTTCCTACCGCCTCGGATGTTACGCAGTCACAACTTTCATGATGACCAACATGCCACTCCTCATGCCAACGGCTACAGTGCCGCGCTCCACGTCCATGTCGAAGGTGGAAACTGGACTTCCAAAGTCTGCCAGAGTGATTTCGGTACCATCTCCCTGTTCGACAAATGCTCTGCCCTCATCACTACCGATGCGGAATGCGTCCAAGTGCCGTACCCGGCCTTCAAATTCATGAGCATTCGTTTCGCAGCTTTGGTCCATGTCAAAGACACCCGGCCACGCTTTCCACTGCAAATCAGAGACACCCGGACGCGCTTTCCATTGCAACACCATTCCATCAAACGACACGGACAGCACCTTCTGGCTGTCAGCACTCATTGACACACTCCTCACCCGACCCGTGTGCCCGGTCATCGTGTCGCCGATTTGACGTCCCGTGTCAGCGTCCCATACTCGCACCGTCTTGTCATTTGACCCCGACGCAACCCGTTTCCCGTCCCCGCTCATCGACACACTCGTCACCCAATCCGTGTGCCCGGTCATCGTGTCGCCGATTTGACGTCCCGTCTCAGCGTCCCATACTCGCACCGTCGAGTCCTCTGACCCCGACGCAACCCGTTGCCCGTCCCCGCTCATCGACACACTCGTCACCCAACGCGTGTGCCCGGTCATCGTGTCGCCGATTTGACGTCCCGTCTCAGCGTCCCATACTCGCACCGTCTTGTCTTTTGACCCCGACGCAACCCGTTTCCCGTCCCCGCTCATCGACACACTCCTCACCCAATGCGTGTGCCCGGTCATCGTGTCGCCGATTTGACGTCCCGTCTCAGCGTCCCATACTCGCACCGTCTTGTCACCTGACCCCGACGCAACCCGTTTCCCGTCCCCGCTCATCGACACACTCGTCACCCAATGCGTGTGCCCGGTCATCGTGTCGCCGATTTGACGTCCCGTCTCAGCGTCCCATACTCGCACCGTCTCGTCACGTGACCCCGACGCAACCCGTTTCCCGTCCCCGCTCATCGACACACTCGTCACGGATTTCGTGTGCCCGGTCATCGTGTCGCCGATTTGACGTCCCGTCTCAGCGTCCCATACTCGCACAGTCTTGTCACCTGACCCCGACGCAATCCGTTTCCCGTCACCGCTCATTACGACATCGCGTATCTTATCGGAATGGCCTTTGAAGGATTGAACAAGCTCGTGTTCTCTGGTGCACCAAGAAATCAAATCTCCATTGCTGAATCCGATAACAGCACGGGTGCTGTCCGCAGAGAGACAAGCGGCTGTTACGAAGGGTACGCCAGGCGTCACGCCATCGGCACTGTCACTACCTGTCACGCGTGATGTGCCGTCAACAGACACGTCAGCGTCAGCGCCGCCATCGGCACGGTCATTCTCAGGGGCCCGGCGAAAGCAAGAGCAGGCAGCCATTCTTTCGCTAAGCATCTTTCCCACAGTCCTAATCCAGGCGCCTCGTTGTGTCGGATGCCGACTTTCTGCTGCTGCTCGACTCGTCCTAGCCGTTGGCCTTTGGCCTTCTGCCGCTGCTTGACTCGTCCGAGCCATTTTTGTCTCGCTTCCCGTTCGGCTCAGAGCCCCTTCGTCCTCTGATCTGAAAGGGCCGCAAACCGTTTTATTAAATGCCCCGTGTTGGGTACTCTTGAATACTTCCACATCTTCGCTCCCCTCACCGGAATCATACGCCAGTCCAACGACCGCGCCGTCCGAATCGAACATCATCTTCTTAACATATGAATCGCGCGTGTTAAAGGACTCCAGCAACCTCCCCCCAGCTGCAGTTAGACATGAACGTATTGGGAGTAACCACGGTCTGGGCGCAAACTTCTCGATGTCCAACAAGAAGCTCTCCACGCTCTTCACGCCCCGTTTGTGCATTGTCCTGCTGTAAAGCTGAAAGCAGATACCGGCAACGCTCTCATCGCAAGACGATACACTCAGCCGCGCAGCTTGCATCACCAGAACTATTGCAGACAACTGCTCACTTGCAATCGCTTCTGGTTTCTCACTAGCAAGCTTCCTCAACTCCTCCACCGCTTCTACCAGCTGCCACACAGCTTTTCTTAGCAACACCTTCATTATCCACCTGCTACTAAGAAGCAAGCAGCCCAGCTCTTTCATCAGCTCAGCCCCGACAAGTAGTCGACAAATATTCTCGAAAAAATATCCCTCCTCCGCCTCGCTAGCCTCCTTGGGGACCTGATCTTCAACTACTGCTTCGAGCACATCCCTCTCTTTCCGATAGCTGTCAATCAGCTCTCGACACCAGTGCTTGGTCCAGCCGGGGCCGTCCACTTGGCCTGCTTCGAAGACTGCGAAATCATGCGTAAGATCATGAAGACTTACCCCTTGGCTTTCCGTGTTCGCCAGAACTCGAATGTCAACCAATCCTACACTGCTCATCTGCGTCGCATACTTTCTTGCGATGCTAGCATCGCCCGTTCCCCATAGATCCCTCAACACTCCCAGAGGGATCACATCCTGTTTCTTCATAACACACAACGCGCGGTGCATTTTCGCGAAAGACGGAGATTCCTCGCTGTCATGCGAGTCTAGATGCTGTAAAGACGAGCGCAGCATTACGTAGAGCGATTTGTACCCGCCCCTTGCCTCCTGTGCGCCAATCGTACCGCTTCCTGGGCTCTCTTTGATCGTTTTCAGGTACAACGTCCACAGCTTTGGTGCGTCCCCGGCAAGATCGCCTCTTGATTGTTTAACACTAGCTCCTGCTACATTCAGAGCCAGTGGCAGTCCCGCGCACATGTCAAGAATCTCGCGAAACGCCTCTCTCGATATCGGATTTTCTACTTCACCACGCGATGCTCCACTCGTATGAATCAGAATGTCGTACGCATCAGGCCCTTCTCTCGGCTCAAACTTAACTTGCTCGCCAAGATGTGATAGGGTCCGATCTCTTGTGGAGTACAAAACCTTGCTGGCTGGCTGACCATTGCGCACTGCGGTGCTGGCAAGGCTCGAGAGTTTTAGCAGGATCTTCTCATCATTGTTGTTGCGCGACCAGATATCATCGAAAATGAACAGGCACTGATGACCTGAAAACCAACTTTTAACCCCTGTTAGCACCCCATCCAGGTCGGCCAGATTGGACAGCTTGTCCCCTTGTTCACGTCCCCCAGAGATGCGGACAACGTCGCAGAGTCGTTGCTTCAGCTCTGCTTCTCTTGCGTCTTTCCCTAGGGTTGAAAAATATACTCCCCCTGGAAAGCGCTTGACAACCTCTTCATCATGTGCAATTGCTCGGAGGGCACATGTTTTTCCGACGCCGGCTTGTCCAACTGCCGTTGCGCCTACATGCGAAGTTATTCTGGTGCTCAGAACAGCCGCTTTTAGCTTTCTCTCTACAGTGTCAGGATCAGTACAGCCGCGACATGTAGACTTTAAATCAATGAGCACTGTAGAAGGGTTGAATTCAACCGCGAAGCTGGGCTTGAACACGTCGCCTACCGGTGCATGTGAGCGTATCTCACGAACTACGCGCGATCCTTGTCTGCGCGTCTCTCTCACACCGTGCAATTCCTTCCTTACGTTATCAATGGAAGCATAGAGCTTTTCGGCTTCCTGTTGGCGCTGCAATAAGACATCTCGAACTCCGGTGGCTGACGCCAAGGCATGTAATTTACCTTTCGGATTCTCTGTTTCATCCTTGAGTTCCTTGACCAACCCCGAAACAGAGCGCGACACGACTTGAACCTGTGCTTGCAACTCATTCTTGTGTAGGGGTTCTAGGTCGTGAATGGGGACGTTGGCGACATTCTCCGTCAATTTCTGGAGCTCGAGGTACTGTTTGAGGACTTTTGTGGCCAAGCTTCCGTTATTCTTGTAGGCATCGTGGGTGTCTATGGCTTTTTGCACAAGGCTGACGACCTGCTCTACCGCGCCGACCAGTTCTAGGATACTCAACGGGTCCATGATTCCCCGAAGACGGCAAAGCTCTACGACGGAATGGAAGCGCAGGGTACCTGACAGGAGGCGGTAGAAAGTAGATTGTGCGAGTGAAAGCTTTCGGAGTGGTTGTTGTATGCGAGGGGGATGGATACAGGAGGAAAGGATGTGTTTGCGATGCCAATGGGAAGGAGTCTGCGGCAGCACCCCTGGGTGCCTTAAGTAAAGCTTCACGCATAACGGTTTTTGGTCGTGGTGGGCTTGGAGGCTGTGTGTGTGGGTGGGCAACGATGACTCTGCATCCAACTGGACACATTTCCGAGTCTCAGGGCCATTGGATACAGTAGGATGGAAGCATAAAAGGCTATCGTTGTCGTTTTCTCGAAGACTGTGTGGGTGGGCGGGCGGGCAGCGATGACTTTGCATCCAACGCGACAAGCTTCGAAGTCTCCATGCCACACACCAATTTTTTGGGCTGTGATTTTGATTTTTTGAGATCCTGCCCTGTTGATTGGCAAGTACATCCAGTGTCAAAAATCTCAGTGGGCCGTGGATATACTGTAGTACAAGTTCGGGTCCCCAAATATTGAACAGATGAACTGGCACGTTTGGGAAACAATTATAAAAATACTCATTTATGGCTATCTTATAGGTGCAATAGAAAGGTTGGAATCGATGGAATCCGTTTACAGATTCCCTCTCATCTCAATCAAAACAATTGCGACAGGGTCCGTCCATCCCCGCGTATACTAAAATCCGTGTCTGTCTGTCTGTGTGTTTGTGTATGTGTGTTCGTGCGCTCCCGCACGGGTTCTCATTGGCGCACGGGGGCGCTGCGGCGACAAGTGGCGGCCACGTGCGGGGCGGCCTGGCCGCAGGCCAGGCTGCCGCGTTGCCATTGGTGCGCTCTGTAGAAGCCGCCGTGCTGATTGGTGCGCCTAATATTTTCAATTTTTCCGATGTGCCTTTTCGCGGGAAAACAAATTTTGCACGTGTCCCCGTGGCGGTGGCAAGTGGTGGGGGGCTGCGGGGCGGCCTGGCCGCAGGCCAAGCGGCCACCAAGGACACGTGGCGGCTACGGGATGGGCAGAAATTACGTGGGTCATTTAAAAATTCCGCATGACCTCAGAGGCGGCAGCGGCGAGGGGAAAGGGTGTGTCACTGGCGGGGGGCGAGGGGGCCCGCATGGCCACGCTGTTGCTAGGGTCGCGTACGGTGGGTGAAGGCAGAGGCCGCTGACGAGGCCCGAGAGGTGGGTGCGGAGAGCGGGCGGAAGGGGCCGGACCGCGCCCGGGGGAGAAGGGGGTGGCGGCGAGCGCCGGCGCGAGGGGCAGGGGCGAGGAACGCCGAAGACCGTCGCTGCGAGGCGGGCAGGTGTCGCAGCCGGCAGCGCAAGAAGACGCGCGCGGGTGAGGGGGGGCCGGAAATTGACGCCCAGGCGGTCGCGCAGTGCTCCTTCCGCGGGGTTCGCAGCGTACGAGAGGGAAGATTGACTAACTGCGATGACTGTGGGTGCGGGAGCGGCACCGCGACGGACGAGAAGGAGGGCCTACGGAAACGGCGTGCAGAGGGGAAGGTGGCTGTGATCGGCTTGATCAAGAAAAGGCGGGCAGGCGGGGGATGGGGGAAGCGCATCATAAGGGGAGGAGGGATCGTAGGGCGGTCAAAGGAGGCAGGAGGGGAGGGGAACCAGGAGAGCGGAGGGCGGGAGAGTCGCTGAGAGCGCACGCGACGAAGCAGGGGCAGCGGCAGCAGCAGCAAGGGTGGGGACGCCGGGAGGAGTAACTGCAAAGGTCGGAGCAGGAAGCCGAGCGGGAGGTGCACAGGCGGCGAAATGGGTGGAGCGGAAGGCGAGGTGGGGGTGCAAGCCCGGGCACGTGAGGCGACGGTTACTTGGGGGCGGCAAGAGCAGCAGCAGGGGCGGAGGCCGGCGACGGAGAGGGCAAGGCCGCCGCAGGGCGGGAGGGAGCGGGGCGAGCCGCACGAGTAGAAGGGCCGGGTGGAGTAGGGCGGGGCGGCGGGTGAGGTGTGATTGCGCGGGCGTGTGCCTAGAGCGTGAGAGCCATAGAATAACGAAAGGGTAGGGGCACGGAAGTGGGAGTGCGGGGATTGAGGAAGCGAAGCGCCTCGCGGCGTAGGCGGCAGGCAACGCGGGCGGCGGCGAAACAGTCGAGAGCAGAAGCGGGGAGAGGGAGGGGGCAGTGTGGGCGGGGGGCCACGGGTTCGCCGGTACGGAGGTTGAGGCGGACGGGAGTGCCAACCGTAGCGACCAGGGTAACGGCCTGGGCAAGGGTGGCGAGCAGGACTGAGGCGAGTGTGGCGAGAGCAGCGCGACCTGCAGCCAGAGTAAGCACGGAGGGGCGGTACGCGTGGCAGGACGAGGGGGAAAGGGGCGACGAAGACCGGAGAGAGGACGAGAGCAGTAGCGAAGAGGACGGGGGAGCAGCGGGGCGGGGAACGCCGGCAACGATGGTGGACCAGAGACGAAGGGAAGGCGGAGCGGGAGGTGCGGGGCGAGTAGCGGAGAAAGAAGGGATTTGGCTCGGCGCGCGAAGCGCGCACGGAGCCCACTTGTCCACAACTAATAAAATCCGTGTCTGTGTGTCTGTCTGTATGTCCTTGCGCTCCCGCGTTGCCATTGGCGCACGGGGGCGGCGCCGCGGTGACAAGTGGTGGCCACGTGCGGGGCGGCCTGGCCGCCACGGGGACACGTGGCGGTAAAATTAATTTTACTTTGAATTTCGAACTGTTACACCAATGCGGCACTACAGTAGCGTGCCGGTGATAAGTGGCGACACGTGGCGGCGCCCCTGGTGACAAGTGGCGGTGAGGCGAAAGCGCGCACGAATAGAAACGTTTTTACATAGCGGCACGTCGGCAGCACAGTACCGGCTTTCGAGTTCAATAACCTTCAGCAAATTTTCACCACGTGACGGTTCCCTGGTAGCGTGGTGACGGATTGCTTGACGGCATCCGGATAGTCCCTAGGTGCTATTGCGCTTTGCTTTTAGTAAAGCGTGGTAGTCTGCCGCTGTGCAGGAAGCCTAATCCGATAGCGCACCATTTCTTGGTGTTGTAGTATCGGGCTCGGAACAACGGTCTCCGCAGAGCAATCTGCGGACGTCGGACTGACGTTGTTTTCAACGTCGACGACGAAGATCAAACGCAGCCTCCGTCAAACTATATAGGCTGCAAGAAGACCCAGTGTAGGTGCCGTTAGGGCTTGGGAAACCTAACCACCGCACTGAGGGAAAAGGGAGCGCGCGTACTTAGCGACCCCGGCGGGAAGAGCCTTGCAAGAGGGATTCATTCCGGTCAAGCTTCGTTCCTCTTTCTCATCTGTTTGCTACGATTCTGGCTCACTGCCAGCCTTCGGACCCTCTCCCGCTGTGGAACGACCACCTGAGCATGTTTCTCACCGATATTCGCAATCGTGCACGCGGACAACTCATTTGAAGACAGCAGCTTCGCGATGATCACCACGCCACATCTTACGTGCTTCGAGAGGTACAGGAGGCCCTGCAGACCGTGCGTTCCGACTGGACGCTCGCAAACTTCGGACTCCCACTGCCCGATGACATCCTTCCCGCTTTGGAACAGCAAAACGAGATCGAGACCCCCGAAGCAAAAGCGCAGCAGTGGGAAGAGCGACTACAGACGTCGTTGCCGCTGTTTAACACAAATCTACGCCATGCCTTTGACGAAATAGTGGGCTCCATGCGTCCAGGCGTATCCGTCTCTGCATTGCTTCAAGGATCCTCAAGCGCCGTGGCGGGACCTTCTATGCCGACACGAAGTGGTCGTCTCTTCTTCCTCGATGCTCCTGGCGGAACAGGCAAAACATTCGTGCTCAGCGCCATTCAAGACTTCCTTCGTACGCGCCGTAAGCAAGTCATCGCTGTCGCTACGTCTGCTATTGGTGCTTTGTTGCTCGACGGTGGACGCACCGCTCATTCCGTGTTCAAGGTTCCCATTCCTATATCTGCCGAAATCACGTGCAGCTTCTCCGCAAACTCCGACACTGGCCGTACACTGCAACAAGTCGATCTCATCATATGGGACGAGATCGTCATGTGCCATCGACATTGCATTGATACTGTCGATCGCTCCCCTCGCGACTTGATGCAAACCGACCGGCCCTTCGGAGGAAAGTTCCTCGTGCTCGCTGGAGACTTTAGACAAATCCTTCCCGTCGTTCCGGGCGGGTCCCGAGGTCAAATCGTGAGCGCGTGCGTCAAGGCTTCCCCGCTGTATCGAGAGCGCCGATTCCTGCGCCTTACCGAGAACATGTGCCTTGCTGCTCTCCGAGCGGACCCTGCAGCAGATGTGGAGGCTCTCAACTTTCCAGAGTTCCTCCTCAGCGTTGGGGAAGGCAGACTTAACGGAGAACAGCGCCCGGAATGGATCTCACTACCACAGTCCATTGCGTTCGAGTATACCATCCGCAATTTATGCATCAAGGTCTTCCAAGGAATTCGAGACAATCACGCCGACCCTGCCTGGCTCACTAAGCGCGTTATACTCACCACAAAGAACAGGCTGCTCGAGGAAGTCAACGAGGTCATCGGCAACATGATTCCGGGACCGTGTCGAACGTATTTGAGCGCAGACAAGGTCGAGAACGAAGACACCAACGCACTAATCTATCCCACAGAAATGCTCAACACCTTGACCGCCGGATCTGCTCTACCAGACCACAAGCCCAAGCTCAAGAAAGGCTTCATCGTCATGCTTCTGCGCAATCTCGATCCCGCTACCGGTCACGTCAACGGCGCACGATATGTCATCGAGAACATGACCAACAAACTGCTCTTTCTACGCGTTACTACCCGGTCACACCAAGGCAACAGACTGTGTCTTCCTCGAATGCCCTGCGGACCAGGAGACGACAACTTTCCCATCCCTGGCTTCACCCGAACGCAGTTATCCATTCGCACGTGCTTCGCCCTTACAACGAACAAAGCGCAAGGCCAATCCTTCGGTGGCCGCATTGGTCTCGACTTACGAGATCACTGCTTCTCGCACGGTCAACTCTACGTCGCACTATCAAGGACTACTCACCCAGGGAACGTCACTGTCCTCACTCGAGAGTCCAATGAAACAACGCGAAACATAGTGTACCCCGAGGTCCTTCAGTAGTTCTAAAAAAAGTAAACGCCATTGTCTTTACATCTTTTCATTGCCACCCTTCCCAAATAGTGTTCCTCCACGCTTTCTTGGCTCGGCGCGCAAAGCGCGCACGGAGCCCACTTGTCCGCAACTACTAAAATCACCACAAGGTCTTATACTGTAGCCTTCTTGAATGACGAGGAAGAAGGCAACCCCAGCGTCTCCTCCGCCGCCGCACCCGCTGCTGGCGACAACGGCCACGCCATGCGCGTTCGACATACTGTAGGTAACGCGAGCGAGGGCAGCCTTGACAACTC